GAAACCTCCTCTCCGTTTCTCTCGTGTAATCCTGCAAAACTGGCTCCCAGTTTGCACCCTTTTTTTTGCGCCTGTTATCTGTCTGCTCAGAGAAACCGTGTTCTTGGGTTTCCTCCTCGGAGACATTTTGCACTGTGCCCATTGTTCCACTTGTTTATCTGGGAAACAGGTAGGCTGGAACGAAACTGCCACTCACAGGGGTTTTGTTAGGTTACTAGTATCTACTTGCATTTCTCAGCCTCAGGGCAGGATTTGTCAACAGATACGCCCGGTGCGCAGTGTTGTGAAATGTGTGAGAACATGATATTTAATAGCGCTCGTCTGTGAAATGTGTTCATTTATCAGTTTATCATTTAATATGGAAGTTACACAATAAACTGGTATTGATTAGTTGTGTCCTGTTCTTTCTTCCTCTCTAACTGCTAGGAAAATTATAATTTCCCCCATAATTCATCTGAAAGATCAACATTAAAAAGCATGATGTTTTGTCTTTTCATCAGGGATAAAGAACATGTGGCATTGGTAACCTTTTACTCTCTGCTCAACAAGTGTTACAGCTGCAGAGGATTCGGCTCTATTAAGGCAGTTATTGATGGTTACAGTCATCATCTCATGTATTTGATTGTTGATGAGGATCTACTCCAAAAGGACCAGAGCACCAAACTTACAATACATATATTTTGTTTATCTCTAGTGATATTTTCAGTTTAAACCCTGAAATAAGCTGTACGCTAACTTTGGTTAGATCGATAAAGTGTCGTTGTTAGATGCCTATTTCACATCCAGACGATAAAGTGTAGATCAAAATGAGCGTTTATTTGTGTCCACCTGATGAATGGTCACTCTTCTTTTAGCTCAGATTTGGTCTCCAACTCCAGGAAGGTCATATTTGTATTTTTAGCTGCTAAATGCTCCACTATGTTTACCAGCTAGTTGCAAACTTGTTTCCATTTGTCTTTCCAGAAGTCTTAGTTATTATAACAATGATGTCCAGCCACAGACGTCACTACCAGCAGTTTTTACAGTTAATAAAATGCCAGTGAAATGCCATTAAAATGTGATTTTGCACACCATTAAATGATATTGTGTTGGATATCCCCAGAAGTCTTGGCAGAAAACTAAAGCTAGATTACATTAGAGGTAAAGACACAATCACATGTCATTTCTGTAATTTTGGTGAACTGACACTTTAACAGCGTGAGAGAGTTTGAGGTTGTTTTTTTCTTTTTAACATGTTGCGATTTGACATAGCAATGCTAAGTGGCTGTTAAGAGCATTTTTCACGTCGGCTTGAGTGAGCGGAGAAAGAAGCAGAAATCTGGTGAAGCCATTTATGCAGCCGACGTGCTGACAGTCAGGCGGCGTGTTTACACTCCAACAAAGTGCCCTCACACACTGCACCAGCCCAGCCGCTGAGGCCTGTCTGATGTGTCAGAAGCTCACAAACCTTCTCTCCCTTCGCTCTACGCTCATTCCTGGGGAACATGTGCGCTGGAATTCTCCCCCAATTAAGACAGGGATTAGCCAGGTCCGCTGTGGGAACCGACCGACTGTGGGAAACAGAGGCTCTGTCGCTCTCTCTTCCCTCACCGACACTCAGCCTCATTCTCACTCGCTCTTGTTCATCAAGCTGCCTCCCTCCCCTGTATTTCTCCCCCTGTTACTGTAACTCTTCCTCCTCCCATTTCTCACCCTATTTTCTGTAATTCCTCAACATTTTATTCCTTCCAATTTGTCTTTCTGTTCAAGCCACACTTTCAAAAAAATCCATTTCCTATTGTTTGCCCTCTCATATTTCTAATTATGCACTGACCCCTTTATTTTTCACCCTCTTTCTCAGCCACCCAGAATCTCCATATCTTTCAGTCCTGATTCTTCAAGGTTTTCTGAAGTGCACAGTTCTTCTGTGCTCCCCTCTCCTGCCCCTTCCCTCCTCCCTCTTAATGCCTCTCTAGCCTCCATACTGAAAGCTTGTCTGGGGGGGAGCTGGGGTCTCTCGCATGAATAGTCTGAGACTGTCAGACTGAAAAGAGGGGGTCGAAAAGACAGCTCATCAGAAAAGAAAAGACAGGTGTCTCAGAAAACAGACAGTTATGTAGGCACTTTTTGCATTACTCAATTTAAATTCAACATGAATAAAAACACTAATCCCATCACTTTTAATGCGCTTAACATTGATCAAAATTCATTCTAGTCTCACAGGAGAATTCAAGAAACCATTGAACTCGAATGAGCAATAACTAAACAACCATGGGAACATCCTGGTTGCGGACGGTTCATCCCCAATTTTCCATTGTCACATTTCTTTCTCATGATCTTGCAATACTCTCACTATCACACCGGATTCCTCTCCCACTGCGTCTACATTCCTCCTATTTATTATCACCTTTTCTTCCTCACTTGTTCCCACTCTGCCTCTACTTTCCTTACGTTCCCATAAATCCTTTCCCTGTGCACTCCTCCACACAAGGCTTGTCCGTTCCAATTACCGCAGGGCCGTCCAGCCCCCCGGCTCACACACAGCTCGCTCTCATTAAGCCTGTATCAATTAGGCATTAACCTCCTAAAACAAAGGGCCTCTTGACGAACCCATCGCCCATCGCAGGCCATGTGAGGAACTTCCTCTGCACCGCTCCACCCTGCTTCCCATCCTCAGAACCACACATTCATCCAACCTCTTTCCCACTGTGCTGCTCACAAAACAAAATCTGGGCCCAAAGCATCGACTACAACAGAGTAGAGAATAAGCATCAAACACTTAGTTGTAGAGTAAATGTTGAATAGGTCAGGGTCTTCACACAAACCAGCTAATGGTATGTGTAGTTTTGTTAGTAGAATTTCATGATTTAACCTTCCTTTAAGTGTTTTGCTGCATTTTCCTTTTCATAAACTTACACCGCACAGACGAGCTCAACTATATATTATGAAGGTAATAGGTTTTCTTTCCCAAAAGACTAAAGTTAGTGTTAATTTAAATATATCACACCTAGTTATTTTTATTTCACATGACTACATGGGTCATTTTTATAGACTGAAATAACTATTAGATTATAACGATTTATGCAGAATATAATTTTGTTAACTCATTTCAGACAATGTGTAACTGTTGAGAAACAATCTCAGTGGTAAAGATGGTAGTCGAGTGCAGAACATGATTTACAACAATGGCATAACCTGATTTAATATGGCTTTGTAATGCACCAGTCCTGAAATAAATTATATTTAGTGAAGCTTGAAATGCTCAGTTTTGATGAGTCAGAAAGATGTACATTTTTCTCGAAATGTATGAGCAAGAAAAAAAGGCATTACACAGAAGGAACAAAATGTCCAAGACAACAACATTTAATCAACGTTAATTAAATCATTTATAGTAACATCTTATCACTCAATTTCTACTTCTCATGAACAGATTTGGGTGCATTTTTGGGAGTTTCTGTGACCAATGTCATTATAATTGTCTACAATGTTGCTGAGGAAATGAGGATCCCCCCGTCATTAAGTTTTCTTTTAATTAGATTTAAAACTAATCTCGTCGCAAGTCTTTTTTAGTTTTTACAGAACTCTGAACATGCGTTTCATAAATTCACAGCAGCACCGTCAACCTTTGCTAACTATGGGACTTTTTTTTAACGATTTAAACAATATCCTTGACTTTTTATATTCTAAACTTGGTAGCTAAATCATGATTTGAATTAAAAGTGCTTTTGTTCCACATTTATGATACCAAATGAATCTTATGTAATCATTATCAAAATTTGTATTTACATCAGAAACACATGTGGTAAGTAAAACATTGTTCACAGCCAAAGAAGTGAACTTTTTCAAAAGTCTGGAAGAAAACTTGGCTCTTAGCCTCGGGACCAGCTGTGGTGCCGCAGACTTCAACATCTACTCATGTAACCATTTAAAAAACTTATCCACTACTTTTCTTGCTTTACCTTTACTCAGAGTAAACTTTGTGCATGTTTGCAGAGGTCGCTGCAGGCGCATCGTGTCTCTGTCTTTGTTGGCGGAGCAGCAAAGAACAACTTGGTTTTGATTTTCCCACAGATCTGCCGCAGTGAGGAGTGGTCCCCAGCACCCAGCGCTTTGGCACAGTGACTATGTTGGCACCGGCCCAAGCTGAACACCCCCCACCCCTTTTCCCAGGGCCCTGAGAGTGTAATACATTACCACCGAACTCCCACTTCCCATTCCTCTCAAACTTTCACACCCATGCTCCCTCCCTCCCACGGCTGGCATGCCCCCTGAAAAGGGGATTGGGGTGACATGCGTATGACTCTTTTCCCATCTCCTCAACTTTTCCCAGCATCCCCCAGAGTATTTTAGCTTAAAGTGTTTATGTCTTTCCATATAAAACTCAACATAAATCTTACAGACACTATTTATTTTTGACCAAACCTTTTTCCAAAGTACAGGGCTTTTAATATTTTAAAGTTATGCCAGCTATGCCAGGAAACCCAGGAAACCCAGCTACCGAACACACCGGAAAAAAATGCAGACCCTTTCACTGTTAAAGGGGTTTAAAGGGAATAGATGTCTATTCAAACTGACCCTGAGGTTATAAATATGAACCCTCATTCTGGAAAAAGCCTGGATTGTTTGCTCCATAGTTCTCAGAGCGGCATTGAGAGGGAAGTATTCACAGGCGTGTATGTGTCTGGGTAACATGTAATGACATTATTCTCACCAGGGTGACCCCTCATTGTCACCGCGCTTTCTTCTCCCGAGCTCGTGAAATTGACATAAGCTTTACAAACATTCCACGCATTTTTTTCTCAAGGCCGGATTTCTTTTGGGGCCTTTCATAGAGAAAAAAGCACCAGAATGAGCAGCACCCCCTAGTGATGGGGTCAACACACACCATACATGCTCTCTGGTCTAAACAAGGGGTTCTGTTAGATTGATTAATTATATCCACTAAAAAAGGATTAAAAAGTGTTTTAATTTCAATAAAACCAGGTTATAATCACTGGTTTGTGTATGATTTAACTTAAAATGTGTGTTTATCATTTCCTGTAGGAGTTATATTTAAAAAAAAAAAAAGTAATTTAAAGTTATATCGCAGTATATGTTCAGATTTTGTGTCCAGTTTTCTTAATGGAGAGTTGTATTAGCACTTTGGGAACGCCCGGCCTCCTGTATGCCATGCAGTCTGCAGAGGTGTGAGATCTCCTCCCTATACCTGCAGGCAGTGGTAAAGCTCACTATAATGATCTTCCAGAGGTAAACATTTAAAAAAAATTACACAGTGGGTGACTTCCTGACCTTCCCAGGTGATTGTCAATATAGTCCTGCAACTCCGACACCTGCGCCTCGGCAACTGATGGTGATGAGAAGGGAATGGTCTTTCTCTAAACTCACCTATAGAAAGAAAGATATACAAACCACTTTCAGTATGAAAAAACGTTTATTCCTTCAAACCAAAGTGAGGTTATAAAATAGCTTTAGGGGTGAGAGAGCTTTGTTTACCAGTGTAGAGTCTGAGATCTCCTTCAGCTGCTTCCTTAAGTCCGACCAGGATTCCTCGCATGCCAATCTGATAAAGTTACATTTGTCATACTTTTTTATGACATGATCCACAGCTGACCACATTTCACATTTGTCATTTGGTAAAATGCTAAATTGACACTCACGACGGCTCAAATTTTGAACGCGCATTTTGAGGGCAACCACCTGCCACAGAAACAAGGTGAACATATTGAATCAACAAGAACACATCAATGTATGTAAAAAGATGACGTTATACAAGATAAGATTCGGAAAATGCCTGAATCTGAGCTGCGATTACTTGCTACTAAAAAGTGAAAACTGTTGTTTGAAAGTCATCTAATGACATTATAATAACTTTTTTCCCCTAAATGTCAAACAGTTTTCTTTAAAACACATCTAAAATAAACACTGACTGCAGTAGATGCTCAGACAGTCACTGTGACAACCACCCAGTTAGGATTTAATTACCCATCAATCAGTGCTCTGACATGAACTGCAGTCCTCCTCTGCAGCATTGAACTTTTTTGTTGCCGTAGGATACACACTTTATTGTGCAGTTCATCGCTCAAAAACAAACAATGTGCTTTATATGGAAAGTTTAGACACAAAGAAGAATCCCCCAGACCAAATAAAAGCATTCACCAGACATAACAAAAGCAGATCAAGCCACTTCAAAGCGGCCATGTTTCTTTAGAGCTACCTGCAGCTGAGCCTCGTCCTGACGGCGCTGCTGGAGCTCCCTCTCTGTTTCCTCTCTGAGCTCAGAGGGCTCCAGGCTGAAGGGGGCTTCTGGAGGTCCAGGGTCAAGACCGCTCTCTGGCTGGGCCAAGATCTGCTCCCTCTGAACCCTGAAGATCACAATGTTTCAAAGTGTCCAGTTACTCATGATGGATTCACTTGGAATGTGCTATTAATGGCAGGGTTGGTACTCGTTCTGGTTTATCAAAGCTAAATCAGTGGAGTTGCAGTTATGGATTTTTTCATTAATTTTGAAATAGTGCCCGAGTCTTTTGAAATTGTGTTTACTTTTGATGCAACAGCACTGCTTTAAATCAAATTTGGCAAAATGATACTTGAGAGGTCTAATGATTAGGTTGAGCAATTCAAATATAAAAAAGGCATTTTAATTTTTAAGTATTGCTGAAAATGTTTATCTCAGCCTGGGGTCAGACATCCTAAGATTAGATGATGTAGAGGGTATACAGATGACTATACAAATACATTTAAGTACAATTCTGCTACAAACAAAGTTTCCTTTAATTTTAGATTTTTATACTGTAGGTTTTTGTTTAAGGAAAATCACAACTTGTATATATGCAACTTTTTAAAAAGGGTCACGAGTAGACGTGACTTTAGGGATGATATGCAAAAAAAAAGTTTGGGTAAAGTTAAACGCAGGACATAAAATACGGTTTTCCGTGTCCAAACGACAGTGAAGCATACCTGTACGCAATAAGGAGAGCATGATGGGTCTTGGTGATCTTCTGAAGTCTCTTCTTATAGGAGCGAGCATCGGAGGCCAGCTGTTCCTCCCTCGCTCTGTAGGAGGAACGCACATCCTGAAGCATGCTGTCAACGTGTGCCCTCAACTTAGAAGCCTCTGGTGGGCTTTTACCCTCTCCTAGTCCATCAATGTACTCCTAAATTAAAGACATGTAAATGGATGTTATGTTAAGACCTTAAAGTCCAGTAATACTTTGCAAAGAGGCTTTTGTGAGGACTGAAACTCACAGATAAGTCCTGTAAATACCACACGAGTCTTAAACGATATTCCTCATTCAGCTCTTTGACTTGAAGCTACAGCTTTGAGTTTTCCTCTTCCGCCTCCTTCACTTGGCTCTGAGAGCACATCAGGGCCTTGGGTAGAAATAACAACAAGTAAACATTCATTCAGAGAGTGGTTAACGGGGATAATATCTATAATTATTTCAGAAATGTTCTGGAAATCAGTTCACGCTCACATCACTCCGCTCAGACAGTTCCTGCTGGCGGTTACGGATCGCTCTCTTCTCGTCCTCCTGATGCTCTTTACCCATTTCCACCCTGATGACCGAACACAGGCTCAACAACAAGAGAGTAGCAAACCAAACTCCAGACAGCCACATCACAGGGGGAGACCACATCACACACACAGCAAACAAACCCACAGATCAAAGGACAAACATCCTGAGATGGGTTTGGTTGTTTGGTGACTGGACAATGGACATGTAAAGATATTGATGTCTAATCCAAATTGAACTTGTGCACTATCAAATGACATACTCACACTTTCTCCTCCAGTTTCTTCTGTTGCTCCTCGTAGCTGTTTTTCATTTTCTCCAGCATTTCTTTGATCTCATCTCGGTTTCCAAGTAGCTTTGGGAGAGCATATAAATGAACAGGCAAAGGAGGTTATTAGTTTACTGATGTCCGTAAAACATATGTGTTGGACACTGTTCCCAAGATTGAGGTATGTGTTTTGTATGAAAAGACTTACAGTGTTTTGCATAGTTTTTTGCTCCTTGTCCAAAGCTCCCAGATTCTCTAGCTGTTAAAACAGTGATGTTTACAATCGGAATTAACCAATGGCAAGTATAACATATCAAATTAAAGATTACCTTTATCCCAAAATGTTATTTTCTTTAAGTGAAAAGAAAATGTATTTTATAAACATGATCTTTTTCCCAATTTCTTGCACGACCAATGCTTTTTTCTGCGAGTAGAACATGTAAAATTATGTGGAAAATATATATGTCCAATGGTAGAGTAAATCATATTGCACTGGTTGCATGAAATGTGAGAAAGATAATCTTTTTAAAAAATAAATTCAGCTTTATCCCATCATATATGGACGAAAGATGCAAACAACATTTCTTTAGGAAAGCTGGTTGGGATTAACGACATCTGTGTTAAAATCTGAGAAGTTCAAACCACAACACCATTTTTATGTTGTTGTCGGCCAGTACAACAAAAGCCCCTAAAGTTCCTGCTATTGTAGTGACATGAACTCAGGAAGTAATCTAGAAAATAAAAGTGCGTTTAACCAATTATATTTCCATCTAAAGAGCTGTGAGGACAAATGAACATACTGTCTCACCTTGACTCTGTTATGTGACATGCTGCTGATCAAGGCCCTCACCCGGTCCAGCTCACAATGCAGCCCCCGGGTGGAGGTCTCCACGCTCTGCTGCTGCTCCTCCAGCTGCAGACGGAGGGCGTCCTGGGCCTGGGCCAGAGCCAGCAGCTCAGCACTCAGCTTCTCACCCTGGTTCTGCTCTTTATCATGGGTATCAGCCAGAGCCAAGTAACTGTTCTTCAGGGCAGTGTACTCCTCCTCCGTCAGGTCTTGACCACTCTTCTCTCCCACTTTTAGACAAGCCTCAGCAGACTGGAGTGCCCTGGATAAGTTGTCTCGCTCCATCTCAAGCTCCGTTATTGCACTGGCTTGATTCAATAGCTAAGAAGTGGAAATACAGTGCATCACAGTATGTGTGGGTATGAAGAGTTAACCCAATTCAACCCTGATAAATCCCAACTTTTTAGGCAAATACATTCTTCTTCTAGCAAACCCTCACCTTGTTTTTCAGCTCAAACTTCTCTTCTTCAAACTGCTCCCTCATTTTGTTTGTCTGCATTTTCTCATCCACAAGCTCCTTAGATATCTGGATGATGGGAACACAATTTATTCTGTTTATATAATGAACACATTGTACACTTACTGTATATGCTCATGAACTCTACCTTGAGTTTGTCCTCCTCACTTTGGATCAATCTGCAGGACAGATCTGTGTTGGAGCTGGCCAGGTAGCCCAGTCTGCACTCCAGGTAGCCCACTTTGGTGAAAAGGCGTTCATTTTCTCTCAGTTACTGCTAAAGTAAAGTGAACAGAAACACTTGGTCTACAATGATATGACAAAGGCCTATTTTCAAAATAAGATTTCCATTGTTTTCAATCGTTTGCAGCTTCATATCAAGGACAATTAGCATGTTAGCATAGCACCACCTGACTTTGTGGCCCGAGTCCATTTCACCCATTAAGCCAAATTAGCTTACTTCAGTATCCAATTTCCTAGACAAAACGGTCCTGAAATAACTCAGTGTAGTGTTTGTACTTACGTTTTCTTCTGTTAAAGCTCGAAGTTGCTCATTTGAACTTAGCTGGTGGTCCTGTTTGTCCATCTGTATTCACTATCAACGGCTAATTAAGCTAACTTACTCACTGTATCCACCAACACTAAATTGCCATGGCCTCAACAACACACAACACTGTTTTTGTTTTATGTGTTGTCTATCTTTATATTTGAGGACACGAAACATCACCATAAGAACTGTAGAAATGACAGTGAAAAATAAATCAATTTCCAGTGTATTTTACTTTCAACAGTTGGATTAAGAGGCCTAACATAGGCCTACAGCCTTTTGCCCGTATTTGATCACAAACAAATTGATGTAAAGGAACCTTCAGCAGCTGCATTATAGTATGAGATAAGTGATAAAGTAATTTATTGTTTCAGCCTGGAGAAGAACAAGCATCTCTCCTTTATAAAGCATTTGAGACACTGCTTCTGAAACACTGAACAACAGCGGCTGAAAGTTGATAGATGTCATTGCAGCGCCATCTTGTGCCAACAGTTGGAAAAGTACCACATTAGGAGCCACTGTGAGAAACTTTTTGTTAAATACTGGGCGTCATTTGCGCTGGGGACGCTGGAGACACTTTTTGAAAGTGTAAATTATAAATGTTATTTTTCAAGACTTAAAAAAATACGGATTATTGGCTTCCTCAATCATTTCCCCATGGCCACACATAGCCTAATGGTTCCTACGAAAATAGTCTGTAGCCTGACCATAGACTGTATATATAAAGAGCCTGACACTGTAAATCCTGTCTATACAGGATCAGTTTTTATATAAAAATGTTTTTTTAAAAGTAATGTCTATAATTCTTATTTTTATCACTTTCTTTTTTTAGTTTATAAGTTTCTTAATTAATTTGTTAATTTTTTTCTATTCTAGAATTTGTATTATTACATTTTTTATTATTATTTATTTATATTATTCTATTATTTATTCATTTTAGTCCCATTTTTATGTCCCATATTATAGGAACTGAAAGATATTGTTAAAGACACGTGCACTTTCAGAGCAATTGAAAGTACATTTGTACATTTAGTGTTGTCGTATCCACAGAATACAAGGCTACCAAGTAAAACAACTTGGTCTGAAACAGGCACAGACACATGTATATTTGAATGAAAATTGAAAGTGAAAATACATGTATGAATACATGTGTGTTCTGTTTTATTCACAACTCATATATTTTTATTTATACATTTATTTCGACATTTATTAATTTATTCATGTATTTATTTGTTCTCTTGTTAATTCCTTCCTGTATTTATTTTCACATGTATTCATGTATTTATTTCTTCCGTTTTTTTCACATTTATTTATGTTGTACTTATGTCATGCTCTGTCTTCAATACCTGTGTGCTCGTTGTGTGCATAAAGGTACAAATTCACTCAAAATCACATCACAGCAAGACCTATAGTTGGGCGTACGTTGTTTTAAAAACACATTGGTGGTTCAGAGGTCTATGCATTGGTTTTTCATGCAGGTGCTCGAGGTTCAACAACCAGGGGAGGGACATTATATAAATACCTCTACAGCTATAAAACCTTCCAAGCCAAACTGGGCAAATTCATTCTTAAAAAGTATTTTTATTAAAGTAACAGAACAATGCATTGTAATGTTAACAAATTGGGTTCACATGTGCTAAGTAGAATTTGTTACAAGTTATCAAAAATAGCTGAAAAATGCTTTACAGAGATATGCCACTGAGAGAATACTTTCAATTAATGCATTGATTTAACAAAAAAACATTTTTACCAAATGCATGAAAACCACATGATCAGAACCAGGATAGAAAATCACACATTCAATGCAAAACTTAGATATAAAATCAAGTAATTAAGCTCAAAGGTATAACCTGTTTTTTTTTTTAATTCTGCAGCTCTAAAATTAAGGATTCCAGGATTGAATTGAAAGCCGACTGGATTTTCACAGATAACAGGCTGGATTACTTGTGTTAAACATTTTGAATAGTGAACATTCTGTAGAATTTGGTATATCTTGTTCTATCTATTTTAACATGAGCATAAATAAATCAAAGCTTTACAATTATAGTCTCTAGTGTTGATGCCTTCAACTTGTCCTCAGTCACACTAGGGATTTTCAGTCACACTGTATTGCAGGTCAAAGCATTTTTTTTTTGAGGTAGAAGACATTCTCTCAGGTCAGCTCTCGTAATGAGTGTGGAAGTGTTTTTAATAATCTCATGTGCTCTAGGTGTAGCGTCCAAACTGCACAGTTGTTCCCGGTCTGAGACTCTTGCATATTCATGCATTTGAACATGCAGATTCTTCATACACATGAATAAAGAATCCAAAAATATGAAAATAAATATATTATATTGTTTTACAAAATAGAAAATGATCAATGAGACCTATTTAAGATACATTTAAGTCCTCCTCCACTTCATCGTCCTCCTTTGCAATGGGTCTGTTGTCGCCACGGTCCATGAGTACACCCATCTCTTTCTGCAGGGACTCCAGGCTGGCCGGGCTGACGTAGTACCTGACGTTCTGAGAGGGCAACAGCCTCTGGAGCTCCTCCAGCTTACGGTAGGCCTGGAGAAGAAACATGGAAAGAGGATAAAGAGCTGACTGTTTATTTTAGGAGTTTTTAGAACCATTCATCTAAAAAAGGTAGCATTTCCTATGACAGGTTGCTGATATTTTCTTTAACCAACATGTCATTTCACCGAATAAAAAAGCTAGAAAAAAAAGTTACCATTTGGAAGTTGCCTTGCTGACAGTGGTGCTCCACCAAGAAACCATATGCATCTCCAATCCTGACAGCAGGGTCCAACTCCGGCTCCTCCAGCAGCGCTTCACACAACTGCACCGCCTCACCAGGATCCTCCACATACAACCTGCAGACAAAGGACAAAACTCAGATTAAGATCAACACAAATAACTTGTATACAAAAGAGAACAAGTATGAGTTGTGTTCTTACATTCGTGCGTGGACAAACTTCTTGATGAGTGTGATTCTGTGCTGCAGGTCAGCCAGTCTCACTTCCTGTTGTCCCGCTGAAGGGTCTTTTGCTTTTGAGACGCACTTGAAGGCCTCAGTCAGAGCATCTAGAGCCTTTTCATAGTTCTGGTAATCATCAATCTCAACCTTGATGATGATCAAAAAGAGGAAACTTGTTTCATTTCTATTTCAAATGAATATAATTTGCCTCAAAGCAACCTTACAATTGTATGTATTTTTCATCTGACTATACTTAAAGCTCTTATAATAAATTATTGTAAAAAAATAAAAACACCACTAACAAACAAACACTAGTCTATTTTCCAGTCAATCATTTCAACAAAAATATAACTGCAGCAAATATATTATATATACACTTTTTGAAAGCTTGTCATTTTCCTTGAGCATTCTCAATTAAAGTGGCAACTAAGAACATCTATCACAGTATCTCATCTGTAGAATTGTATAACCTACTGTTTATCAAAGGCAACGTTTTACCTGTAGAACATGCTTGTTATTTAAGAATGCTAACTTGAATTGAGCAGCTTAAAAATGCTTAATGTCAATTTGTTACCAGGAAAGTACCAATTAACATAACATGGACGGATGTTCTTATGAGGTTTAGCTCTACCTGAGCACAGGCTTCATAGAAGCCAGCCAGCAGGTCCGGTGCCCTGCCTTTAGTGTAGAAACCAATGATTGTCTTCAAGATCTCCGGATTTTTCCGCCAGTCCAGAGACTGGAGGTAGTTGGCGGCCATGATGAAAAGCTCCTTCTGACGACAAACATTGGCGAAGAATATAATTTTCTCCGTGTCGCCCGATTTGAGAAGTGCCCTCATCGCCTGTTTGGAAAAAATACAATCAAACATAATATAGGTACAAATATTTCATATGTTAAAGAGAAAGGTTTGGATGTTTTGAATTCACTGCTTAATCTTGCAGTCAGACAACAACAATATGTTTACCTCGCAGAACACAGAAGTTGATGTACTGATATAGATTTTCTAGCGTGGGCCTTACTAAGGCTAAAACACAATTTGCTAATATCCACTTAAACAGCATTACGTTGCTTTGATCCTGAACCATAACTATTGTCTGCTTCACAAAACTGGGGACGTGTCGACTGCCATCTACTGTGATTAAAAGTTCCTCACACAACCCCACATCATCTAAACTATCCCTTTAAATCGCATGTTATGCACATTTTGATTATGCTACATTAGGTTGACAGAACAGATCAAAGTATTCCTCTTGCCAAGATACAAACACGTTGTAAGCGTGCAGAGAATCCCTATAGTGTTTCCTTCACACCACAGTGTTACCTTGAGCTTGTTTCCCGCCTGTGTGTATTTCTTGGTGGCCAGGTGGTAATTCCCCTGGCGCATGCAGCAGTCCGCTATCCTCTCCAGCAGCTCCTTTCGAGCCTCTTCAGATAAATCCTTTGAGTCGGTGACCGTCATCCTCTCTGCCAGCTCCTCTGTGATGGTCAGGCTCTGGGTCACACACAGCTCCAGGGCTTGATGGTACTTTGGTCACACACAAAGGAAAAGACACATATGAGCACACACATATAAAATGATATTTCCATGTGTAAAAGATCATGTGTAACAAACACCTTCTTTGCTGCTACCAGTAACTCCACAGCCTTCTCATACTGGGAGTGCGTGATGAAGAAGTCGGAGCAGCGTGCCAGGAGGGCGGGGTCGGAGTACTCGTTCAGATCCTCAGCGATCAGCTGGAGGGCAGAGAACTGCTGGGTGGCAAAGGCCAGCTCCAGAGCTTTAGAAACATAACCAGCCTGCAGTGGAGAAATTACAAAAAAACATTCTACTGTTAGAAAGTGGAAAAACTAATTAAAATAGTATTTAAATATATGTATTGTGAAATACCACACTTTTGTAGGACACTACGTGTGAATAAAGTAAACATCTTTAACCAATAGAAATCCTCCTAAGTCAATTACTTACAATAAGTCAATTATATTTTGCATTACAAGTTTTCTGAAATTGTATGTTTAAATATGCAAATTTGGCATTATGTTTTACTAACTTTTAGGGAATTTGGGAGAAATATGCTGACAAAATAAGAAATATTGTAGTGAATTAAGTGGCTAAATGTTATTTGGTTTATATTTGTTTCCATTAGTCTTAAAGTAAAATATCCCTAACTCAAAAT